GGTCATCCTGCCACTTGGCCTTGAGGACAGAAATGTGAATGCCCTTTGGCTTCCCCAACCTTGCTCACTTCCCTGATTCCCTGACCTTGTCTTTCAGGACAGTTACCTTGGTGATGAGTTTAAATCACAGATTGATGTGGCGCTATCTCAAGACTCCACATACCAGGGAGAACGGGCGTACCAGCATGGCGGGGTGACGGGGCTGTCCCAGTACTAGAAGGCAAGTCACCCTGAGCAGACCTTAGCCCTGCCCCTTCCCCTGAAAAAGGGTCTGGAGCCAGTACGGGGGTTTTCACTGGGGCTCTGGACTCTTGAGGAAATTCTGGAAATGCATGCTGGCCCCCAAGGGACCAATTTGTCCTGTGACTGCCACTGTGGGTCAGAGTGGCACTACGTGTGTCCCCCCATTGAGAATTAATTCCAGAACCCCTCAGGGAAAGGGATATGGGGCCCACAGTTGCCTGGGCCGGGAAGACAGTGGGCCCTGACCCTGATGGCAGCTTGCTGCCTGAAGAGGGCCTTCTGAGCGCCTGCCAGGCTCTGCTGAGCATCCCTATACCTGGGCTTTAGTTTCCTCATCTATAACATAGGACCAGAGTGGGGTGAGTGTGGGCTCCGGGTCCCCTTGCCCCAGCTTGTCTGTGCTGGACAAGTGGGGTGCTGCCAAAGCTCGGGGTTTGCTGGCCTTAGCGCTCGACTTTGCTCACTCCTTGTAAGTCCCTGTCCCTGGGCACCCATGTATCATCCAGGTGCCTAAGTATCTGGGCAGCAGCTCAGGATCCTGGCTTCCCATGCTGCCCCTAAGGGTCTCTCGCCCTGTCCTTCTCCCACAGGTGGCGGCGGAAGAGCTAAGCTACGTGGCTTAGTCCATCAGCATCTTATTCTGGGTAATAAAAAATAAAAATAAATGGATACCTGTTTTCCACTGCTAAAACTGAAGCACCACTGTGTGAGCAACAGGAGAGGGAGAGGAGCAACCGAGGGAGAGAGGAGCCGAGACAGAGCGAGCGCCCCCTGCTGGCACGCGGCGGCGGCGAGGAGAAGGAGAAGGGAGAGCGGGAGGTGGGCCGGCCGCGCAGGAGCCGCCTGGCCAGTCCCTGTCCAGCCCCGCTGCCGAGGAGGCCCAGCTCGCTGCGTCCACACCTGGGTCTGCGACCAGGGCGGAGGGAGGAAGACCCTCATCTCAGAGTAGCCCTTTCCTCTGTTCTTTTTTCTTTCTTTTTTCTTTTATTGAAAGGGGACTACGTTTTAGCAGGAAAAAACTTGGCGTTTCTGTGCCTGAGCAGGCTCCTTGTGGGTGGCTGCCGGCCACGCAGGGCCGTAGGAGTGTGGGTTCTGCCCACATCGGCTCCCAGACCGCCCAGGTCACGCGGCCTGTGTTTTAAGAGGGGTTTCATTTAAAGAAAATATGGTTTTGGGTTTTTCTGTTTGTTTTTTTAAAGATTCTTTCGAAGGAGTACTGAAAAATACACTGTCCTAAGTTTGTCTCTAAGATCTTAGTGGTGGACCTGGGAGATGCAAGAAGCTTCCAGAAACGAAGTTTATACAAGCCAGCGCAACTGGAGACTGGGATCAACACCTGTGCCATGGTTTCGAGGAGGATTTTTGTTTTAAGTTTTAGCTTCCAGAGGCTTCTCGCTGCAGGTGGCAGGTTGGTGCAGCAGTGGCCTCGCCTGGCCTGGAGGCCCCGCCTGCTCCACTGGACTCTTGAGAAGCACAGCTGCTCCCTGCGCGGCGGACTTGGCGTAGGGCTGTAGCTGCTCCGTGAGGAAGGTGCTCGTGGCCCCACCAGGGGACCTCAGCCAGGACTGGCCATAAGGCCAGGGGCCAGAAGGGTGGCTGTTTCTGGTCCAGCGGCTGCTTCCCCAGGGTCCTTCCCAAGGATGCAGTGGAAGGCAACAGCCAAGCAGGTCTGTCCCTGTCACTGGGGAGGCACACACAGTCCCCGTGCTGGTAAACATGCCGAGTACCCACCCTGATTTGGAGCCCCTCTACCTGCTGGCACAGCTCACTGACGTGGGGCCGTTTCTGCTTTTGCGGAAAAACGAAGTTTCTGAGAAGCTGGCTGTGTGCTAAAGGGGCTTGGAGGAGCACGTCACCTCAGTTGGTGGAGGGGCATCTGTCTGGGTTCAGGTTTTACAATGCCAGAAGTTGTTGGGAAAACTGCCCCCACCCAGCTCCTTGCCCACGTGGGTTGGGGTGGCTATCTGCCTGGTGACCACTTCACTGAAGACCATGTCCTGCCTGCCCAGGCCCTGGTGACCCCACCCAGCCTTCCCCTCCCAACGAGGTGTCCAAGGCCCTTATCCCAAAGCCTCCAGATTCTGGCTGATGTGGGACCGGCAGGAGTGCACAGGCCACCTTCTGGCAAGGACTTATTTATTCCCATTGCTGTAGGGCTTTTGGTCCCCCTTCTTTTGGTAGGCTGCATAGAGGCATAGATTCGGGTAGGTTCCCGCCATGACCCTGCGCTGCCCTGGGCAGCTGCAACCCGCCTGCCTCTGGCTGGAATGCTTTGCCTCTGCTGTGTGCCCTTTGCTTTGTCCTCCACCTTCCTAGCAGCATTTGAGTTTTACAAACTGAAGAGCATCTGTACCAAGGCGATGTAACTTGATTTTTGGTCAATTTGTTTTAAGCTCTTTTGTCACCAATAAAATGTTAAACAGTTTTTGCTTTCACATGGGGCCAAGTGAACTGCAGGGGTGTGTTGGGAGGGCACTGGTTGGACTGGGGACCTGGCTGGTTGGGAGGGCTTTGAAGAGGGCTCAGCTGTCTGCAGAGGGTTCTCCGGGAGACCACTGCCCTTGCCTCTCTGGCACAGCATCTGGGCCTGTGGCCCCCCTGGAGATTGGGGGCAGTAGAGAGGACTGGGATGGTGGCGCCACCCAGTGGCCCGGTGCGTGTAGATAGCAAAGGCCCATTCCTCCCCACTAAGGTGACAAGGACCAACAGAGCAGACCACCAGGTTTTTATTGTTGGGTCCGTGCCACAACTTCCCTGCCCGCCCCTGGTCAGCGACATCCACACTCGTCCACCACCATGTCTTCATAGTGCCGTAGAACCACGTTGTCGCTGTTGTCGAAGAAGAGCACAGAGATGGGCGACAGGCGTGCAGGCACGCAGCAGGGCAGGCCAGCGGCGCCCGGGGCGGCCGCGTGCATGAGCGCGCGCAGCACCGCATGGTTCAATGCGGGTGGCCCGCCGGGTCCCGGCAGTGCGGCGGGTAGAGTGCACTGGCCCTGACAGTAGTTGGCCAGGAAGCCACGCGGCGCGATGACCCAGCGGTGCCAGCCCACCTCTCGGAAGCTGACGTAGAGCCGCCGCGCGCGGCACACGCCCCCCAGGCCATCGCCCGACGTGGGTTCGGCCTCGCGCCGCGGCCGGGCCAGAGGGTGGCACAGGCGCGGGTCAAGAGTCACCAGCAGCAGGGAGGCCTCTGCCAGGCGCGCGCAGGTGGCTGGCGCCGGGGGGCGCAGCGCCAGCGCCAGGCGGAGGCTGCGCGGCGCCGAGGCGTTGGGAGCCCAGGCGATGCCCAGCAGCTCGGCGCGCACTGGCAGCTCTAGGGCGGGCACCTCCTGGTGGAGCAGGACCGGCCCGGGGCCTGCGCCAGCCTCCTCGCCCGCCAGCGCCACGCTCAGCTCCCAGCGGCCCGAGGGGGCTGCCGCCTCTGTCCCCACCTCCGCGAAGCGCAGCTCCAGGCGGGCGAGCGTTGGGCGCTCGGCGGGTTCCACTGCCGACAGGTCGAAGACGACGGTCCACTCAGGGCACAGCCCTAAGGCCGAGACCGGCTCTGGGATCCGGGTGGGTGCACCTGGAGAGATGAGAAAGCTTGGCTTAGGCAGCGTCCCCGCCTGGTGCCCGGCCTGCCACACAAAGGATCTCAGTTGGGGACAGGGAAGAAGGTGAGAGCTTGGGGCTGGGGGCGCACCATCTGTTGGAAGGCTTCACAAGGTGTGACGCGGCGGGGTGGGAGTGACAGAGTGGGGGCAGGGCACTAGCTACAAGGAAGAGGCCCTGCAGGGTGCAGGCAGGCTGCCCTACAGTTGGGGGACACAGGCAAAGAGAGATGAGCAAGCGCCTGAGGCCCCTGGGGAAGGGATGCTGGGACATGGCGGGGGGCACCTGCAAGAAGGCATCAAACGGTGTGAAGTGGAGTGGGGGCAGGGCTTCGGCTGCAAGCCAGGGGCTGCCCAAGGCAAGGGGGCCCTCCCTCGCGAAGCCAGAGCGGGTGTCTCAGGCGCGCAGAGGACTAGGAGGGATGGGGTGCGGAGACCCAGGCTGTAGTGGGCTGGACTGGGTGCGTGGGGGCCCTCGCGGTCACTCTGGTCTCGCTCTGCCGCGCTCAAGGCTCGCTGGAGGAAGTCTCGGCCTCCCGGACCCATGCTTCCCACGCAGGCCCCACTCACCACGATCCGGGATGTGGCGCACGATGTTTCCAGCGACCCCCAGCTCCTCCACGTGGCACGGTCGCAGGGTAGCCCCCGAGGGCGTCCGTCGCCAGCCCGCCCTGGTCTCCTGGGGGTCGCGGTGGCGGAACAGGCGCCACATGACCGGAGGAACCGGCCGGAGCGTGGGGGCTCCCCTGGGTCCATCGCGCAGCCCAAGAGCCTGGAGTAGGGCGGCAGCAGGGCCCGGGGGCGCTGGGGCGCGGGTCACGGGCGGCGAGGGCAGCAGCAGAACCAGGAGGAGGAGGTGGTGGTGGCCGAAACGGCGGCGTGGTGGCTGCATTTTGTTCCCAGGCGATGACCAGAGTGGCAGGGTCCGCCGTAGCCCTGGACCTATGGTCTGAAGGCGGGGCTGGAGTGCCTTGAGGGACCCAGGTCCTGAGGGCGTGTCCACTTGGGACAGATCCCTAAGGCGGGATCTGAGGGGGCGGGGCGGGGGTCTCAGGACTGGTGGCCGCGAGAGCCCCGGGCCCTGGAGGGGCGGAGCTGGATGGGGCCAAGGTCCCGGGAAGTGTGGTGTGGAGGGTCCTGGGGGCGGACCCGGGCCTCCAGAGACAGGGCTCGTCAGGGGGCGGACCCGTGTCTCCAGGGGCTCGGTGGGTGTCCTGGGGGCGGGGCCGGATCTGGGAGGTGGGGAAGGGGGTCCAGGGGTTCAGAAGCGCTTGTCCTTCACCAGTCCGTTCCTCAGCGGTTTCCTGGAGGCCAGAACCAGTGCAGTTAGCTTGGTAACCCCAGGCTCCTCCCACTCTCTCCTGATCTTCCGAGGACCCCACTGTCTAGCCCCGACGTCCCTTGACCAGGCCCGGCCCAGGCCCCGCCTGGCTGCTGCCGCACTACTTTTCCGTCCCTTCCCCCGCCTCGGACCCGCCTCGTCCCTGCCCACAGGGCCATAAGACCTCCTATGGGCATGACCCCGCTCCTACTCTCCCACTACTCTCCCTACTCTCCCCCTCCCAATTAAACCCTTCTCTTCCCCTATTCCCCGCCTGACACCACCGCCTCCGCCTTCATAGACCAGGCACTTGATCCTACCGCCCTCCCAGGGTGGTAAAACTGGCCACAGCCCCCTCCCCCTGTGGGCCTCGAGCCTCTGCATCCACGCCCTCCATGCACCTCAGCCCCGCCCCATACTTTCTATGTTCTGAAAACAAGCTTGGCGAAGTTTTGTTTTGCGCTGCAGAGGATGGAACACAGGACCTCACGCATGCTATGCAAGGTCGTTACCACTGAGCCACATCCCCAGCCCCAGTTTTGTTACTTTGCAAAACTTGAACCAACATGAGGTTCAAGGGAAGGACACCTAACCGGTACCTGGGAAGGACACTTAACCGGTAAACAAGAGGTATGGTTTGTAAAAACGTTTTCTCTTGCAAAAAAAAAAAAAGAGAGAGAGAGAGAGGAGAGAGAGAGAGAGAGAGAGAGAGAGAGAGAGAGAGAGAGAGAGAGAAAACGTCTTCTCTGTGCAAAATCACGCAGTTTTCCCCAAAACCCAATACTAATCGGAGATTCCTCCTGGTGCCTACTGCCACCCTCCAGAAATTCTCTTTTCCCTGTGGGAGTTCGTGGTAGGACTCTGAGGTCCTCACTCAAGAGGGAGGAATGCCCAAATTTCTGCCCTTGCCTCCTAGTGGCACCTTGTTGAATTGATTTGGCCTCTCACTGCGGGTTCTTGACCCCATGGTCAGGGTCATTGGCCATTGTTGTTTTGGTCTGTGGGCACTGCTCATGTCTTCACGCTTATTTTTTGTTTGTTTGTTTGCTTCATAGACTTGGCTTGCATGGTCAAGAGGGGACAGAGCCAACCATCTAATAGTCTTGACATCAGAAAGAGAAGAAAGGTCACAGGTCTCTGGAGCCACATTTGCAGGCCAATCTTTGTGTCTTGCACTTGGGTGTTGTCACAATACAAACACACATGTGCTTGTGGTCCCCTCTGCACTTTAGCTTTGTGGAGCACTCCATCTCAGAGAACCTTCCATGAGAAAAATAAGGGTGGTCCTGAGGGAAAAGGTGGTCTTGGTCACTTTGTTTATTTTAATATATATATATATAAGTTGTAGATGGATACAATAGCTTTATTTTATTTATTTTTATGTAGTGCTGAAGATCGAACCCAGGGCCTCACACGTGCTAGGCAAGCGCTCTATCACTTAGCCCCAGCCCCAGTCCCTGTTTTATTTATTTTTGAGACAGGGTTTCACTATGTTGCCAGGCTGATCCTAAATTTCTGGGCTCAAGCAATCGTCCGGCCTCAGCTCTCTGAGAAGCTGGAACTCTGGGTGTCTGCCATCACACCTGGCTTGGTCACATTAATTCATTCTTCCCCTTGGACTAAAACTCAGCCTCTGTATGTGTTTCAGAGCCAACTGGATGTCCCCTCCTGCAGCACACCATCCTGTCTTGCTGGTCTTTTTTTATTTGGGAGTGGGGGTGGGGGAATGAGCCCTGCTCAGACCCCCTCTGTCTTTAACTTTGCCAGTGACCCTTTAGGCCTTGAGGGTCAAATTCACCCACCTGCTGTGGTTTCTCAAGTCTCCCACAGTGAAGTGAGTTTCTCCATTCCTTGATGACACATTCTCCCATCTGAGTTCAGGGCTGATTTCAAAGTTTTTTATGTTATGTTGACATCTTTGATACATGGGGTGCTATGTTTTAGATATGAAATGTCCCCCAAAAGCTCATATGTGAGACAATGCAAGAATTTTCAGAGGTGAAATGATTAAATAATGAGAGCCTGAACCCATCAATGAATTGATACGCTGATGGATTGACTGGGCACTCACTGTAGAGTGCGGGTGGAGGCATTAGGTCACTGAAGGCTTGCCTTGGGGGTTTTTATTTTGTCTTGGGTGAATGGACCCTCTCTGCTTGCTGGCTGACATGTCCTGAGTGGCCTTCTTCAACCTTGCCTTGCGCCATGATGTCTGTCTCATCTTGGACTCAGCTCTGGAGTCGGCCAATCGTGGACTGAATCTCTGAAACTGTAAACCAAAACGAACTACTTTTCCTCCTCTATGTTGTTCTTGCAGGTCTTCTGGTCACAGTAATGCCAAAGCTGACTAAACCAGAAATTGGTCCTGAGAAGCAGGGTTGCTGTTGTGACTAACCTGACCACATGGCTCAGAAACCCCTGGAACTGGTTTGCAAAGGGAGGGATTTTGAAGAGTTAGAAGTGCAGCCTGGAGACGCCTTAGAACATTGTAATTGGAGCTTCCCGGGCAGTTGAGGCCATTTATGTTATGTTCCAGCAAAGAAGCTGTCTACATTTTAGTTGTAGTTGGACACAGTACCTTTATTTTATTTATTTATTTTTACGGGGTGCTGAGGATGGAACCCAGGGCCCTGCACGTGCTAGGGGAGCGCTCTACCACTGAGCCCCAGCCCCAACCCCGGGTCCTGAGACTTTTTGTGAGGCTGAATTTAAAGGTAAGGTATGAACTAATCTGGCAGCACAAAATTCAAGTGGTGTTATGAATATTCCTGGCACCTTTTAGTGAAGTAGTGAAGTTTACTGTGATGATCAAGAGCAGAAGGCAAAAAAAAAATATTCGGAAAACTTGCAGTTTGGCCATAAGTGAGAAAAGTGCAAATAAAACTGGGGCTGGTTGTTAAAGACATCACAGTCACCAAAGAGATGCTAAGTATGTCTCTCGGAGATAATAGGACCGATGGCTTGAGGGCACCTCAGAGATGGGCAAAACTATACCCACCTCAGGCTCAAGGGTGTAAAATTCAAGACTTCTTTGAGAAGAGACCATGGGGGCACCCTGCTCGCACGGGGGGCCTGGCAATCACAAGCCAAAATAAACTTTTCTTCCTCTAGTTTGGTCACAGCAACACAAAAGCTGACTAAAACCGGGGCAGGGGGAGTTTGAAATTGGGAACTGAAAAGAGGTAGAGACCCAATCTCACTCTTTTCTGCAGTTGCTCCTCCACGTGACCCACCACCTCTGTGACAGGCTTCCTGCCCTCTCTGGTCCTTATTAGTTGCTAAAGTTTTCACGGACTCAGGCCTACTTCTCAGCTCTGTTCTTGAACAGGGGCGTCTCCTTTTCCCTCCCTCCCTTCCTTCTTTCCCTTTCCTTTTTCCTCCTTTCTTCCTTTTTTTGAGATAGAGTCTTCCTGCATTGCCCGGGATGCTCTTGAACTCCTGGGCTCCGGGAATCCTTTGCCTCCGCCCCCTGAATAGCGAAGACTGTGCCTGGTCCTTGATTCCTATGCTTTTAGAGCAAGTTAGGTCACTCTGAGGACCGGCATCCCTGCCCCACAGCATTTTACCAAGAGTTCCTGCTGATTCTTGCTTGTTCCCCACCCCCCCGCACAAACCTCAAAGTGCCGCCCCCCCCCCCCCACACACACACACACTGGAGTCAGCTACCAGCATTTTCCTTTTGGGGAGTGGGATGCACCCAGTGTGAGGGAGGTGACCTCTCTTCCATATAAGATCGGTACCTTGCAGCTCCAGCCCACCACTGTGGTAACAAGAGAAAGAGGTGACAGTGGACAACTTGGGTGGCATGTGGGTATATTTTTTTTTTTTTCATGAAGGAGGAGGAGAGAGGGGACTCCCTGGGGCTTTGCAAGACATTTATGAATTGCCATCAATTGCGACGGGAAACTGTTCTGGAGAGGTAATCTGAGGTGGGAATGGGTTGATTTAGGATATTTTTTTTTAAGTTAGGAAGGTCAAGCAGTGGCTGGGGATGGAGGACAGGGCTTGGAGGAGCAGCGTGAGAAGAGAGGCGTGGAAGTCAGTGCAGACTAAATGCGGGCAGAAAAGGGCCCTGGGAGTGCAGGTGGGCAGCTAGGTGGCCAGAGAGGCCAAGCAAGAACTTACCAGGGAAGAGGGAGAAAGGGGGACACAAAAGGGAGAAGGGGGCTCAAGAAGTATGGTGCAGGAAGCAGGGTGGCAGCTGCCATGGACTGAGGAACAGCCCGATGAGGATGGATCTGTGGGATGAAGAGAATATTCTGGAACTTGACAATAGTGATGGCTGCCCAAACCTGAGAATGTACTAAAAACCACTGGCTTCTACACTGTAACTGGGTAAATTGTATGATACTTAATTTATGTCTCAATAAAGCCCATTTGTATTAGGGTCCTCTAGAGGAACAGAATCAACAGGAAGTATAATTATAAGAGGGGGACTTTTTAGGTTGGTTCTGCGACCAGAAGCTGGATAGTCCACAATGGCCATCTGCAGGCTGGAGAGCTGGAAGGACCAGTACTGCCCAGTCCAAGAGGCTGAAACCTGGAACAAGAGGGATCAATAGAGCTATCCTAGTCTGATCAATAGAGCTCTCCTCATCTGAAGGCTTCTGGAAACTCCCTGGAGAATCATTGACAGAGTCTCCACTTAGGAAGAAGGAAGAAGCAAGAATGGGATATCCTCAGAGGATCACAGCAGCGATCCAATTCAAGAAGAATCAAGCTTGCATTTGCTGTTGCTTCCTTGTGCTTCCAACCTTCATTCCATCCATGCCAGCATCCTATTGGTTGGTGCTGCCCACACTTAGGGGGGGTCCCCATTTCAATTGGCTATCCCACATGCCAATCATTCCTAGACACACACTCATGGACACACCCATCTTTCCCTTAATCTTTGGCATCTCTTAATGCAATCAAGTTGACAATTCAAATTAACCATTACACTATTTTTAAAAGTTGTATGTGTGCCTATAATCCCAGAGGCTC